TTGGGCTCGGTTCTAAGTCCATGTATAGTTTACCCGGTTTGGGCCTGTCCAAGCGTGGATAAGTATTAGGGTTAGTATAAATATTGCATGCATGTATAGCTGTGAGTCAGTCGTAATTATTATTATCATCGTGCATTGTAACCCTAACACACCTCTACAGTCGAAGTTCTTTATCGAGCTCTTCTGAGATGTGATTGATTAATCATTCGACATCCTTCATCTATTCTTGTGTTCTTTGCATTGTTAAATACTATTTTTCTGTTTGAATCTATCGATCTACAACTCTTTTATTCTCAACAAAGATCATGATGAAACTTGATGAATCAAGGCTTAGATCAAGTGGTCTTTCAAGTATAACAAGCTAGAGGATGGAATACTCACGTTTTTGAAGCCTTGGAGGGTTCACGGTTGAGTAAGCGTGAGAGAAAGGGAGTAGTGTGCAGCCAAGAGTAGAAAGGAATGAAGGAAGGGGGTCTACTCATATATATAGGGGTAAGTGTGCGGCCATGAGGGGTGTGTACGACCGTACACCCATGTGTGCGGCCGTACACTCCTCCAAAAGGGGTGTATGGCCCGAATTTCTACTTTGTGACTTTCTAACTCATATCCAATCTCAACCTTGGTTGTACTTAAGCTTGGAACACTTAAATGAACCCTTAAACAGTGCTAAAAGTCAACAGAAACGAGTTTAACATTGATAGAATTGACTAATTGTACAAGATAGAAGTTCCGGGTTGTCACAAATACACACAAACATTTAAACACACATACATAGATCTAAAACATAGTCGTTAGATTAATACACATACATACAAAGATATTGCTAAGAACCACCCTAACAACGATAATAAGAAGAGGTGAAGGTTACTTCAAAGATCTGTGGCCGGTCGATATTGTGTCTCCCACCCCCTCTTCATGTCTCTTTATTTCTTTTTCTCATATCAAAAAAATGTAAAGATGCCTACTTACTCAGATCGACATAGATATCTGTAAAATACAACCCAATCTGATGACCATGCAAAACCATATGTTAAAGAACGAAACTCTTGAAATATGATACCAACAATAGCCTTCTCCATGTTCTGAAAATCCCAAACATGCTACTAATTTGGGTTTACCTGGTCATTTGGGGTCTCATGAAACAAAATATTACCTAAATATGAGGGGTTTCAAACACCGGTGACGCTACTCCCACTTCTTGTTCCCTACAAGCAAAAAAAAAACGACCATGACCTTGTTATATAAAGCAACAATTAAGAAACTTTGTGTTAATAAGCGCTGGTTTTATACCTTGATTATATGAAGAAAAAAAATATAATGATCCAGAATTTGTTATGAACAAGAACTGTATTTAATTGAACATATTATGATCCCAAATAATATGTTTAGAAAAATATATGATCTAAAATATTATAATTCAAAATGATATAATCCAAAATTTTATGATTAAAAAATATTATGATCTGAAACTATTATTATGCTTAATATCTTTTATTATTCGAATCTTGTATAATTGCTAAACATCAAAAACTTGAACCGATATAAAATTTTAAAAAATAAATAAGTAAAAAACAAAATAAAAAAAATAAAAAAACACAAGTTACTTCAAATATGTATTAAAATCATTGAAAAAAAAATACAAAAAATTAAATATCTGATGATAATGTTCACATGTGATTCCAAAGATCTGATGAGCTTTGTAAGGCTCCCACTAAACACATATTTCATTTTAGGCTAGAATATAATGGAAAATTTGAAGCTGATAGCTATCATTAGTTAATCTCTTTTGAGCTAAATAGAAGAAGAGAATAACTTGCATGTCATGATTTCCAATGGATCAAGCCAGAGATAATTGTTGATGCTGATTAAGTTTGTCTTCATGACTTCTCACTGGATTAGTTTTTACATCATCAGATTGGGTGAGAGGGGGGGGGGGGGATTGTAAGGTTGAACCTTATAATTTGATGAGTCAAACTTACTTCACGCTGATACATCAATGTCTGCGTATCAGCCGCTGGTCAGTTCTTGCCACTGAATGGTTCTTTAATCGACAATGTAAAGATTACTTTTGCAACACGGTTCCAGATTTGTTATCTTTGTGATAAGATCTTTTATTTGTATAGTTTATGTTATATATTTAAATCATTGGTTTTAGGGATTTTGATTCTAGAATAGTCCACCCTAGTATATAAGTTACACTAAGTTTCGTTGTAAAAGCAGTCGCTTGGTGTATTCTCTCTGTGAGAAGTTATAAATCAAAATTGATTTTTTATTACACATCGCCACTGCCTTACACCCACGAATACAACTACTTTGCCCTAAATCTGACCGTCGCCGCCCTGAAGCTACCATCGTCACCTCCTTTGAAACTACCACCCTTCCTCCATCACATGCACATCACCACTGAAACTCATATGTTTGATTAGAATCATTGTCTTCCTGTGTTTATAGTGACGACGTCCTCATGATGAACAACCGACGACCCCTCTGGTGAAATGAACATATTCTCTGCCTCACAACCCTAGCTTTACAGATCGATGGTCGTTTATCAGACAACCGTCCCATCTCTCATTCTCTCTATCTCTCTCTCTCTCTCTCTCACACATACAACCCTCAATTTTTGGGTGGGGGGTTTGGCTTCTGAGAAATCCAAGATAGGTTGTGATTTTGTGAATGCTTTGTGTGTAAAACCCTAGTTCTGCAGATCGATGCTCATATATGATTTGTGTTTAATTTTTCTTGTCAATTTTGACTTTTGACTTTTGATGTTTGATTTTTGTGTTCTAAAATTCCAAAAAATAATAGAGGTTTGATCATTTGAAATTCCAAAAAAGAATACAAGTTGTGATTTGTATGAATTTATTTTGATTTGGTGTTTGGTTTATTTTAGCATGATTTTTTCTGGGCATCGGAGGGGTTGAGCATTGGATCAGGTTTATTTCTTTTCGACAAGAGGTGTAGGTGGTGGTCGATGACAAAGGGTGGGTTAGGGTTAAAGGGCGTGAGGGGATGAAGGTCAGTCTCAATGGTGGTGTTGCAGGTTATGGATTTATGTTTCGGTTTCGGGTGGTGGTTGGCGATGGTTGATGGTGACCGGTGGGTAGTGCCTAGTGGTGGGAGTAGCCGGAGTGTGAGGCGGAGTAAGAGTTCAAGTGGGTCCCACTTGTCAATAAATTAATTAATTTATTTTCTTTAATTAAAAACATATTAAAAAAAACTGAAAAAGAAAATATTTAGGGCATTATAGTCATTTTTCTATTAGGAAGAGACTTACACGACAACACACTAAAACCTAGAGACTGTCCGAGTAAAAAAAAAAAAAGGATTAAATGGATTAAGAAAGATTTTAGTAATTTATTTTTTGAAATTACATCGTTGCCCTTGATGCAATATAACCCTAACGTCATTCCCTTCCGCTTGGGGCTTTCAATTTCACGAATACTCGCCTGGTCTCTTCCTTTCGACGATGCTTGTCGAAATCGCCGTCGCCCTTCTTGTCGGCGTCGGAATCGTCGCAGCTCCTCCCTCTGTACGCAGCCATTATCAATATTCCTACATCTGGTCGGAACCTCCGTTGGAATCGTCGCAGCCTTGTTTGTTTTCTTTCTTTTTCACGCAAGCATCGTCAATCGACCCACATCTGGTCGCTCATCGCCGTCTGGATTGTCGCAGCCCATATATTTTTATCTTTTGTTTAGTATTACTTTCAGATTTTTTTTTTCTTCAGATTTTTAATATCTTTTCTTCAGTATTGCCATTTGTAATGTTAACCCATTCGCTTTTTGCTATTTTTTCTTGCAGGATTCTGTTAGAAGCATTTAACATTCCAAATGGTATTATTTTTATTATTATTATTTTTTTATTTTTTTTTATTTTTGCTATTTCATCAAAGTATAATATAAACTTACTTTATAAATTGCCCTTTCAAATTCCACAATCCAACACAGGGAAGACGAAATCGAAGGCTAAGGCAAAAGTGAAGTTTACGGCTGATGAAGTTCGTAAGGTTATGGATTTCAAACATAACTTACGCAATATATCTATTATCGGTGCTTTTGGCCATGGTAGAACTGAATTTATAAACATCATATTTAATTTAATTTATTTTTAACTAATAATCATTCTGTCTCTTTAACCTAATAGGAAAATCTACATTGAATGATTCCCTTGTGACTTTTGCTGGTAGCATCCCCCAAGAAGCTGTTGGCGACTTCACCATAAAGTCAACCAACACTTCAATCTACTATGAAATGACAGAATCAGACCTCAAAGCCTTGGAAGGAGAACATAACGGAAGAAAGTACATCATCAATCTCATTGACTCCCCAGGGCACATTGAATTTTCTGGGGAAGTTAATGCTGCTCTCGTTATCACCGATGGCGACTGTAGCGAGGGTGTTTGCATCCAAACCAAAAACATCATTCGCCACGCACTCCTTGAAGGATTACGGCCTGTGTTGACCGTTAACAAAATGGAAACATGTTTCCTTGACTGCCAAGCCGATGGTGAAGAAGTGTATAAAACTTTGGAAGGGATCATTAATGAGGTGAATGCCACCATTGATATCAATAAGGTCCCACAATTAGATGATGTCACGGTGAGCCCCGCAAAAGGCAACGTGGCGTTTTCGTCTAGGCTTCATGGATGGGCATTTACGTTGAAATATTTCGCGGAAAAGTACGCTCTTGAGTTTGATGTTGACGTGCCAACGATGATGGAGCGACTTTGGGGTGAGAACTATTTTAATCTAGAAACGCAAAGATGGAACACAAAAAGATACAGTTCTCGCAATTGCAAACATGGGTTTGTTCAGTTTTGTTATAAACCTATTAAGGCGGTCATTGGGTATTGCATAAATGACCAGAAGGATCGGTCATGGCCTGTATTGAAAGAACTTGGCGTTACATTGACGTCTAAAGAGAAAAAGTTGGTGGGCAGAGAATTGGTGAAAAGTGTTATGCGGAAGTGGTTTCCCGCTCCTCCCGTTTGACTAAAAATGATGGTATTTCATTTGCCTTCACCATGCGTTGCTCAAAAATACCGTGTGGAGATTTTGTATGAAGGTCCTAAAGATGATAAGTTTGCTGAGGCAATTAGAAACTGCAACCCCAATGTCCCTCTCATGCTCTATGTATCGAAAATGATTCCTGCATCCGACGACGACATGGGTCGATTCTGGGTTCTAGGCCGGGTTTTTGCGGGACGGGTTTCAACCGGTATGAAGGTCGGGGTCTTGGGATCTAATTATGCTGAAGAGAAGGATTTCTCTGTCACTATTGTGGAAAAAACTGCTATTTGCATTGGAAAAAAACAAGGAATCGTAAAAAATGTTCCTTGCGGAAACACATGAATGTTGCTAGGTTTGGATCAGTTTATCACCAAAAATGCAACTATAACCTCAGAGAAAGAAACCGAGGCATACCCGATGCGCACCATGAGGTTATCTGCGGTGCCAGTTGTATGTGTTGCAGTCCAGTGTAAGGTGCCATCCGATCTCCCCAAACTCATGAGGGGCTTAGAGTGTCTGGTCAAGACAGATCCCATCTTTAGTTACATACAAGATTCTGCTAAACCTGTTATTTCCTGTGGTGGCGAGCTCCATTTGAAAATCTGTTTGGATGTCTTGAAGTACAGTTTCTTGGGCGGGGCGGAAATCGACCAGTCCCTCCCGTTTGTTTCTTTCTCTGAAACGGTTAAAGTCTCCAAGTGATCATAACCTCCTCTATGTGAGCCCACACCCCTGGGTGTCATAGTTACTTATGACATAGAGGACAGGTTGCTTGGTCCCAATGATGACCAGGAAGGCTGGGAAGCCTGTACAAAGTACATGTGTGAAGAACCCAATTGGGACAAATTTCACAAAACGTATTTGGAGTTTTGGTGGGCCAAATATGTTAATTGCTGGGTGCAAGGAAGCTGATTACACTAACAATTTCAAGAAAATCGTTATTGAAGGTTTCCAGCAGGCCTGTAGGGCCGGTGTGTTAGCCGGAAAGACGATGATAGGTATTTGTTTTGAGATTTTATGTGATGACCCGATCACCCATGATCTCGATCTCGATGAAGTGATTATAACTGCTCGGAATGCAGTTTTGGCTTCTCAACTGACAGCAGGACCAAGACTAATGGCGCCAATATTTTTGGTTGAAATACAAGCTTATGAACAATCACTTGAGAAGATAAAAAGTGTGCTTCAACAAAGACGCGCTTGGTTTCGTAAAATGACACAGCCGGTGGGTCACCTTTGAGGCATATTCCCGTAATAGAATCATTCGAGTTATATGATGCTTTGAAGTCTTTATCATTGAAGGCTTCCCCACAATGTGTGTTTAGTCATTGGGGAATCATAGATTCAGACCCAATGGAAGCTAATTCTCTGGCGCATAAGCTTATTGAACAGATCAATGAGAGGAAGGCTTACATGAGGTAGATGACATGACACCACCATAGTCTGTGACTTTGAGGACGAGCTGTAAGGTATATATTTTTGACTTATCTCAATTGAATGACTCAATGGCTGTTTCTTTTTTTCCTCTAAATTTGAAGTTTTGGCCAAAGAGGAAAAATTGTAAACTCTCTTTATTAGCTGAGAGGAGTAGTTGGGAGTTAATGGAGTATATGTCATTTATATATTTTTCAAAAACCTTGTTAAGTAGCTCGATTTTCTTTTATGAAATAAAATCATATTTGATAAAATAATACTTGTTTTTGTTAAACCTCATTAATATATCATAAAATTTCTCACTGGATACTCAATTTTTTTTTTGAGTAAAATTGATGGCACCGATTGATATGTTGTGTTGGTGGATGACTTGAAGACATTTTTGTGTAGAACTAATTATAAACTATATCAATATTTGAACTTTTATTACAACTCTTAACTACTTTATGTCTACTTTCAATATTTATTTAGTAAAATTTTGAATTTTAATTTATATCCCCAAACTTTTACAATTAATTAAAATTATAAGACTTAAATAATTTGTGTAATTTTAAAATTTTGAAACCCTAAAACATAATAATTGTTTTGGCTTCTAAAATAGAACTACTTAAATTATCAAAATTAATCATTTAAGTAAGAAAATGTTTATCAACATAAAATAAGAAAGCCATATATATGCTAGCACAAATGGAGAGCATGGCAGTACTTGGCAAATAAGGCAAGAAAACAGATCAAGCTTTTACATGTACAAGTAGCTTTCTTGCCCCAAAAAAATCTTCATGGCATGTTAAGCTTCCACATCTCCCAAAGAGTGTAAGTAACAACGACCCATATTAGTTCTACACAAAAATGTCTTCAAGTCATCCACCAATACAATCTACAAATCTGTGCCATCAATTTTACTAAAAAAAAAAAGAATTGAGTATCTAGTGAGAAATTTTATGATATATTAATGAGGTTCAACAAAAACAAGTATTATTTTACCAAATATGATTTTATTTCGTAAGAGAAAATCGAGCTACTTAACAAGGTTTTTGAAAGATAAATAAATGACATACACTCTAATAACTCCCAACTACTCCTCTCAGCTATAAAGAGAGTTTACAATTTTTCCTCTTTGGCCAAAACTTCAAATTTAGAGGAAAAAAAGAAACATCCATTGAATCATTCAATTGAGATAAGTAAAAAATATATACCTTACAGCTCATCCTCAGAGTCACAGACTATGGTGGTGTCATGTCATCTGCCTCATGTAAGCCTTCCTCTCTTGGATCTGTTCAATAAGCTTGTGCGCCAGAGAATTAGCTTCCATTGGGTCTGAATCTATGATTCCCCAATGACTAAACACACATTGTGGGGAAGCCTTCAATGATAAAGACTTCAAAGCATCATATAACTCGAATGATTCTATTACGGGAATATGCCTCAAAGGTGACCCACCAGCTCAGCGTCCTCTGTGTCATTTTACGAAACCAACCGCATTTTTGTTGAAGCACACTTTTTATCTTCTCAAGTGATTTGCTCATAAGCTTGTATTTCAACCAAAAATATTGGCTCCATTAGTCTTGGTCCTGCTGTCAGTTGAGAAGCCAAAACTACATTCCGAGCAATTATAATCACTTCATCGAGATCGAGATCATGGGTGATCGGGTCATCACATAAAATCTCAAAACAAATACCTCTCATCGTCTCTCCGGCTAACACACCGGCCCTACAGGCTTGCTGGAAACCTTCAATAACGGCTTTCTTGAAATTGTTAGTGTAATCAGCTCCCTTGCCCCTAGCAATTAACATATTTGGCCCACCGAAACACCAAATATGTTTTGTGAAATTCTTGTCTAATTGGGTTCTTCACACATGTACTTTGTACAGGCTTCCTGGTCATCATTGGGACCAAGCAACCTGTCCTCAATGGCATAAGTAATTATGACACCCAGGGGTATGGCCCTCACATACAGGAGGTTATGATCACTTGGAGACTTTAGTGATACCTCTGAAACAACCGTTTCAGAGAAAGAAACAAACGGGAGGGACATGTCGATTTCCGCCCCCGCCCAAGAAACGGTCCTTCAAGACATCCAAAAAGATTTTCAAATGGAGCTCGCCACCACACGAAATAACATGTTTAGCAGAATCTTGTGTGTAACTAAAAATGGGATCTGTCTTGGCCAGACACTCTAAGCCCCTCATGAGTTTGGGTAGATTGGGTAGATCGGATGACACCGGACTGCTGGCACCGCAGATAACCTCATGGTGCGCATCGGGTATACCTCGGTTCTTTCTCTGAGGTTATAGTTGCATTTTTAGTGATAAATTGATCCAAACCCACCACCCATCACTACCCCGCACCACCACCACCCGCCACAACCATCACCACCCAACCACCACCAGCACCTACCTCCACCACCCATCACTACCGCCTGCCACTATCACCCACAACCACTACCTACCA